ATGACCTTATGCCGCCTAAGGGTGGTGAATGTTTCTCGGAGATCAGTAAGGTGATCCGTCTGTAGCTTGGATTTGACTATCATGTCATCAATGTACGCCTCCACATTCCTCCCAATTTGATTAATGAAGACCGTATTAATCATCCGTTGGAAAGTGGCAGGCGGATTTTTCAAGCCAAACGGCATCACAGTATAACAGAATAACCCCTGATCAGTGACGAAGGCCGTCTTCTCTTGATCCTTTTTCCACAGAGGTATCTGATGAAAGCCAGAGTAGGCATCCATAAAGCTCATCAAGGCGTGACTGGCTGTAGAATCGACCAGACTGTCGATCTTTGGAGCGGATAACTGTCCTTTGGACACGCCTTGTTGAGGTCTGTGTAATCAACACACATGCGCCAGGTCCCATTCGGTTTCTTAACAAGAACCACATTGGCCACCCAGTCGGGGAAGTTACAAGGCCGAATGAACCTGGCGTCTAGCAGCTTTTTGACTTCAGCAGCTGCCGCCTGACTTCTTTCCTCACCGTGGTTTCTTTTCTTTTGCCGGATGGGCTTCTTTTTAGGATCCATGGCGAGCTTGTGGACAGCAAGATCCGAGCTGACGCCTGACATCTCTTCCACTTAAAAGGAAAAAATGTCTTTGAATTCTTTTAGCAGAAGGTGCAAGTTTGCACCCAACTTAGCATAAGCAACCGTCCCAACCTTCACGGTATGCTGCGGACGGCTGTCGTCCAGAGGTATATCAATATGTTCACCAGCCGGTTAGGGACAGAGCTCATCTGACCATTCACCGGTCAGTGATTGCTATTTATTCTCTTTCTTTACCTCCACCAGCAGAGGTGCCTTTCTTTTCTTCCCGGCTGTTGGCAGGGCAGGCGCTGGGTCGGCATCCTTGACATTGTCAAGGTCTAGGCCACAATGTCTCTGACGGCTGAGAGATAGCACTCTCGGGCCGTCTTCTGATCCCCATTTAGGGAACCAACAGTGCCGTCATCCCTCTCATACTTGATGAGCATGAGGGACGGGATGATTACTGCCTTGGCTACGTTGAGGGTCGGCCGGCCAAGGATAATGTTGTAGGTGGTTAACTCCTCAACGATGCATGCTGTTGACATTGTATTTTAGCTTTTGCAGGCACCGTAGGCTGATGATGTCTGATGAGCTGCCGGTGTCAATAAGGATCAGTCCAACCAGCTGGTTGGCAACCTTACATTCAATGACGACCGGGTCATCATGCGGACGGCGGACGCTGCCCCTATCCTTCTCAGTGATCAAGACGTCTGGGAAGGAGGTGCTTGCAGACGCCTGCTCATCATCATCCTTGTCCACCTTTCGAAGATGGCTCTTGGTGCCCCGAATGGTAGGGCCACCACAGGAGAACCCGCCTGCTATTGTGTAGACCGACTCCTTGTCATTATTCGAGCTACTAGCAGGCTGGGGGGTAGTCTTGGAGGATTGACCCTTATTCTTCTTCTTTGCCCCGGCTAGGGACTTGGAAATGTAGGACTTCAGCATTCCCTTGTCAGCCAGACGGTCCCACGCCCGTTGAAGGCTGAAGCAGTCGTTGGTGTCATGGCCAACTTCCTCATGGTATTGGCAAAATTTATTTTTGTTCCTTGATTGAATGGAACTTTTCATTGGATTCGGCTTCTCTAGGGACAGCCGATCCTTAATTTCCATGAGGATGGAATTGCAGTCCTTGTTAAACTCGTACTTGGGGACGTACGGTTTAAACTCTTTCTTCTTTTTCTGGGACGGCTGGTCAGAATCACTAACTGCCCAGATTTCTTTTCTCTTCTTGCTATCCTCTTTCTTTTTGGCCGGCTGGGCAGGCCGGCTGTCTTTCTGCTTGTTGGACCTTTTTGAGTCCGACTGGCTACCAGGCGAGCAGAGGTCGGTAGCTTGAATGTAGCTTTCCGCCTCCCTCAGGGCCGCCTGCAAGGTGAAAGCCCCTTTTCTGACTAGGTCGAACTTAAAAGTTGACCCGTCTCTTAGACCTTTGAAAAAGTCTGTAAAGGCTACCTCATCAGACAGTCCTTGAATCTGAATTCTAATCAGATTGAACCGCCTAACATAGGAGCGCAGCCCTTCTCTCTCCCCCTGATTAATGGTGCTCAAGTCCAAGGTTGTTTTCTTAGTAGGGATGTTCATTGAGAAGTTGGAAGCAAATAGGAAGGCAAGCTTCCTAAAACTGTCAATGCACCCGGCTGGCAGGTTACCAAACCATTGTTGGGCGATGCCCTTCAATGTAGCCGGGAAGCAACGACACCAAGTGGCATCATCCAACCCCTGTAGATACATGAGGTTGGTGTAAGCCATGAGATGGTCTTCCGGATTGGTGGTACCTTCATAGGTACCAACCAACACATTCTTAACCTTGGACGGCTGTGCCGCCTCTGTTATCTCCCGGGTGAACGCAGAAGGTTGTTCACCCAGGCGAAGCAGTCGAAGCTGCCAGCCCAGTGGTTGGACATTTTGGTATGCCGCCTGACCTCCAAAGAGAGCCGGCTGCATGAAATGAGGGGGATACTGGCCGTAGACCTGAGTAGGCACATACGGTACAACTCCAATCATATGAGGGCCAGAATGGACGGTATTACCGCCTGTCTGACTCTCATACAAGGAAGATGCATTCCCGACAGAGGTATTGTTAAAGCTGTCAGGAAAGTTTGCGGACTCAGACAGCTGCTGATTTCTCTTCCGGTTGATGATCTACCGGGCATCAAGAGATGACTTCTTACTTCTCACCGGCTGTTGAGTGCGGCGGGGGTTATTGTTATTCCCCTTAGGAAAAAGAATTTTGGACCAATCAATGGTCCCGGCTACCTTCTCCTTTGGATGAGGAGTGGGCTGTCGATATTTGACTGACTTCCCCTTTTCCAGAGGAGTCTTCTTGGCCGACTGACCTCTACTTGGGCCAGCCCGGCTCTGGGTGATCAGCTCTTTAATTTCACCCTTGAAACTTTTCATGAATATCATGAGCTCGTCTCGGGTGACAGGCGCTGATCCAGCTGCCGTATGGGTTTCCCCTTCTGGCTGCCCAGGGGGTCTACTTGCACCTGCCTGGGAGGCACACCGCTCCAGAGTCTCTCTGGGCTGGATGCGCTTGATTCTGAGAGAGTCGTCCTCGGCTGTAAAGGTTTCGACTTGAGGATCTTCATCCTCATGGTCTGTAAAGACTTTTGGGTCTTCGCCCACACGGTTAGGGGGTGGTATAGACTCTTGAACCATCTTCGAGGTACTCTCCCCACAGACGGCGCCAAATGTTTTGGGTGTTTTTGTCCCTCGGGAGAGTTACAACACGAAGACTGATCCGACGTGAGCTGTACCTGCAAAACAAACGGAGACACCGGTTAGGTGGTGCTCCGCCTCCGACGCACAAGTTAGAAACTTGAAGGGAGAGAAAAAAGGTGCGGAAATTTAGGTGGGTATCTGCTCGGATTCCAAGCTCAGATGTCTCTATCACAGGGATTGTTTGTAATAAATGGTAAAACGTGTCCTCGAAAGGAGGAACATCTCCCTATTTATAGGGTCTTTGGGATTTGTGCCCCTGATTAGGTCACTGAACCCTAATCATTGGTGGGCTGCGCAGTTTTGCGGCTTTCTCGGGATTTGGGTCTGAAGGCCGCCTTTTTCCCTTAATTTCTGGAGTGACACGTGTCAAGCAGGGATTGGTCCACTTTGGGCCATCCTGAGGCTGACACGTGTCATCCTCTGATTGGACCACATGGCGGGGTAAAATTACCCTAAACACTCTGTATATATAACTGGCCAAAGTTTGGAGTTAGAAAATGCGTTGGTTAATTAAAATGGAGCACTTAAAAAAATAGAGGGAGTATTAATTTATTTTTTCCATTGTAAGAGCAACTCCAATTGTTGTAGCTAGGGACTTGCTTGCAATTTTTAAAAGTCTCTAGCTACTAGCTTGACTATTGGAGCTAAAAAATACAATTACCTTCAAGCTAATCTGCTTGAGAAAAAAGTTTCCAAAATTTTAGGAGATTAATATATTAAATAATAAAATTTATTTGAGAAAGTCAAGCTTATTTAATTAGCTAGATAATAGCCAACCATTGAAATACAAATCAGCTAAAATGAAGGTTAGCTTAAAAACATACGTGGCATGACAAGCTAATTTTACAATTAGCTTACCATTAGAGATGCTCTAATATGGTCTTAATTGATTGATCCAATTTTATTAGAGCAACTCCAATGGCAAACTAATTGTCAAATTAGTTTGTCATGCCACATAAGCTTTCAAGCTAATTATCTTTGTAGTTAGTTTGATCCCAATGGCTAGCTATTAGCTTACTATTTAAATTATCAATTTATTATTTTTATCTTAATTACTAATTGACTTTTAGCATTTTCTTTTTGGCAAGTTTTATTCAAGCAAATTAGCTTGGCAAATTAGCTTGGCAAAGCTAATTTGCTTGACTAAGCTAATTACATATTTTTGCTCCAATGGTCAAGCTACTAGCTAGGGATTATTTAAAATTGCAATCAAGTCCCTAGCTACAACCGTTGGAGTTGCTCTTATTTGACAAAAATTTTACCTTATTTATGTACACTAATCTCTTAGAAAAAAAATATATATACAAAACGGGATTTCACTAAACTTGTATTAATATGTATTTTTCATATATGAAATGTTCGTACTTATACTTAGAATGAAAGCATATGAAAAAAAAAAAGTATAATGTATTCTATATTAACTGAGCCAATAAGTCATGTCCGATTATGATATTCTTTTAAGGTTTAAAGTTTCTAATTTCAACGAACAAAAATGATCGGAATGAAATGCATAAACGTTGTAGATCGACCTCATTTTTATTTATTTATTTATTTTTATTTATTTATTTATTTATTGAAGAAAAAGCACATAAGAATTTAGGATATATAGTCTTCTTTCAAGATTACAATGTAGACGACCGACTTCATATGTATAATATATATAATGTAACATGGACAAACTTTAGCTAAAGTTAGCAACCAATACCTTGATTTTTCTCTCCATCTTGGTTGCATCTCTAACGTAGGAGATGAGTTGATCTTCATTTTCCGGGTACACGGCGTTGGCAGCATGGCAAGTACTCCGGTCAGGGAATGAGCCATAAGAATTGGTGATGATGCAATCGGAGTTTCCGTAAGAGCATTTGATGGGTCCTTCCGGAGGATCACAATTAACACCATTTTTGCAAAGTATCAAAAGAGTAACCCAAATTGGTCCTAAAAGACTATTAAACCATCTTCCATACATAGCACAAGGAAAAAGGTCAACGTATGTAGTTTTTTGATCTGATCGATCAAATGGAAATATGGAATGTAAAGATAATACGTAGTATTCAACTTGAACAAGTTAACGAAGGTTTGGACTTTGGGGTTATTGTATGCATGTAATACAAGTATATAATACTAATAAAAAAAAAACTCGTAACATTAATTATTACTAATTTAATTAAAATGAGTAGAGATATGAATAATAAGAGTAACTAAATCATCTAATTCAATGCAAGTAGCCAACTATGGATCGATTATTTTAAGAGACTTTATTATTAATTAATCATTAATACTGATAATACCAATTAACCAAATTCTTACTCCATAATTATTTAACCTTAATATGATCATAAAAGGAATACTCTCTCATAGTGTCATCGCTTAAAAGTCTAATGTTGACATTTTTGTGAAATAATTTTTTATATGTATGTGTTGACATTTTTAACAAATCATGAAATAATTGATAATGAGACAAGTAGTATTATTGCAAATCATTATAATAAACATAAGCTTCAGGCATGGATTATAAATTAATATATACATCATTCATTCAGGATTAACAATCATTTACAATATACTGGGGCTAGTAATAATTTTATTACAGTTTTACATTAAGAATTCTCCTCATAAGAAAGACTTTTAAATGTTTATTTTATTTATTTATTTTTTTTAACGAGTAATGTTTATTTTCTAGTAAAAGATATCTATAAACTTAAAATATGGATAATAACATACATGTACATCATCCGTCATGGATTAACACCACCACCTATTAACACCAATTTACATATACATTGACTAGTACTTAGTCTTACAAATCATTACAAACATATTTTTAAATTTAGACCATGAGCATTAATAAAAAAATATATATATATACATATGTATACAGCATCCAACTAAGATTAAAGTCACCTTGATATTATAATTACAATTTGCCTTATTGATTATCATCCAATCAAGCAATTATCAAAAATAAGGTTGCTTTTCTTCTTCTTGCAAACTTTAGCCTCATTATAAACTTTACCACTTTCACAAGTATACCCCTTCCCACAATCATCATCTGTGTTACATCTACACAATCCTTCAAGTGCACAACCAGTTTTATTTATGATTATTCCCTCTTTTAATCCTAAAACTTGATCAGTCCATTCACTTGAAAACAATCCCAAAGGATCATACCTTTCCTTAACCCTTAAAAACTTTTCTCCATCCTTATACTTACTAATCACACCTTCAAACGCTACATTGCGGTTTTTACCCCAGTGTGGCACGCCACCATACTTGAAAACCGCTAATTGCTCGATTTCTTCCATGATGTCCTCATTGAGCCGAGGCCCTAACTCTTCTTTAGGTCGATAATAGGCAATATCAAAGTCTACTCCATCTTCGTCTTTTCCGAGATAAGCCGAGGAAACCTTGACATACCTCATTAGGATACCCAAGTGAAACTCAATGCCACAAAAAGATGAAGGGTCCATATTCACCAATTTTTTTAGGTCTTGAATGAAGCTTGTTACCTTGTTTAAAGGCAAAGTAAAGCCATTGCTATTAAAAAAATGACCATTTATTCTTGGATCCCATCCACAATAACCATCAATAATATTATTTTTATTAAGACAACTTGCGGAAGCTTGCATCTTATTTTGATATCCAATAACTGGGTAGCCTGTGAATAACACACCTAGAGACAAGCATATGAAATCAACATAAATAAAATTCTTACTTTATAATTTCTCAAACAAAAAAAAAACTACTCCCTCCGTTTTGATGTTCGTGTTTCGCAAGTCGATGTAAAATTTTAACCATCTTTGAGCGCAAATATCTTTAATCTCACACTAGCAAAAATTATAAAAGTTAGATATTAATAATCTACTCATTAAGACGAATCAAACTAGATCCCACGTGACTATATTTGCTCTTATAGATTAAGAGAAATTTAGAAGATTCTCTTTTTTTTAAAAAAGTCAAAGATTCCAAACAGAAACATCATTGTGGAACGGAGGGAGTATATTATGTTGGATTAAAATTTACAAAAATTGTATAATATAGTTGTCATATTTAAAACAACAACTACGTTATGAAAACATCTGTACAAAAACAATAAGAGCAAATAAACTACTCCATATATGTTTAGATATTTTCAAATAAGATTAGGTGATAAGAATGAGGTGAATACATACACCCTTGTAAAACCAAATAAAGAAATAGGAGTGTTACCATTATTTGAGAGTCCAAATCCGCTTTTAATAAGAAGGGTCGTGGAAGTGGTAGCTGTGATGCATCTTAACTTGCCGCAACCAAGTGATTCTTGAATATCCTCTGAGTGGTGTAACCAATGAACAAAAAATACAATCCATTAGAAGAAGTGTATAACATCGAAATTGTGAATAGAATGATACCGCTCACCTCAATACAAAAGTCCCGGTACTATGCATACGAAGTATATATAAACAGTTAGGGACTTAGGTTTACACCAAAATACAAGATTAGGGCTTGTTCATATTTACTGAACTGAGCTGAATTGAAATGAACTGATTGGAGCTGAAATGAATTTTTTATGAGAGAGGAAATTAGGAGCTGAAGTGAACTGAACTGAATTGATTGGAGCTGATCTGAACTAATTAGAGCTGAACTGAACTGAAAATAAGTAAATGTGAACAGGTGATACAAACTATGAAGTATCACTCTACCAAAAATTGACTATTCTCGTATCCTATCTTGATTATGTCAAACTTACTATCTTTTACCAGAGACTCCATTGCTTTTCTAAGTTGATTGGTGGTTTTACATTATAAATCGCACCCGAAAAAAAATAATAAATAAAAATAAAACCCCTTTACACAATCAGAATTAGCTAATAAAACTTGCTATAAGACAAACAACTAAGTACAAACCTCTAATTACCAAATTAATAGGGTCATGATAATGATAAGACTAAAATATTCAATTCACATAACCTGATTTGATTTGAATTTTTCTGATTGATTTGATATGATCTTTATATTTGACCAAATTTTAACCTAATACTCTGATGCATAAGATTTCGTCAAATTTGTATACTTGTATAGTTTTCATATATGAAATTTTTATGACATTTTAAATAGTAAACAATTAATAAACGCAAATAAAAAAGATAAGATCTGATCCAATCTGATCTGATTATTTTTAAAGTAAGTACTCCCTCCGTATTTTAATAAGTGTTACAGTTTGACTTTTTCCACTATTCACATAATGGTTTTGACTTGATTAATATACTAATATATAAAAAAACAAATGTTATTGCATAATACATTATTAAATTCGTTAAAATATATACTTTTATAATATCAATTTTTCTAAAATTTTATTAACATATGATTAGATAAATTAATGGTCAAAGTCGTGTCTCAGCATGCATATTTGATCAAAGTGTAACACTTATTAAAACACGGAGGGGGTAGATATCTAAGTTGAAGTAAACATAACCGAAGGAAACTTTAAATAATGATTCCTTACTCATAATTTGTTCAAAGACCTCATCATATACATTACCTACCTGCTGTTCTAGAAGACTCTAAAAGAAATTTTGGTACAGATCGGAAGCCCATGACGTCATAGACTCCATTTCCAGGTATGGAGGTAGGGACTCGATTGTCAATTCGATATGTTGCTTTACGTTGGTTAGGTAGCCACACTATATCGGCAAACTCATGTTCCACCCCAAATTTTGGGGCCTCAATCTCTAAGTCTTGGTCATGTCTTGTCATAAACGTTATGTTTCGCTTGAAAAGTGGTTCCAACTTAAAGGTAACCTTCAAAAAAATAAGTTAGGTTATGCATTTATTCGCACCATATAACTTAATTTCCTTTAAATTTTTAGTACTATAACTTCTAAAGGTTCCTGAATTATATTGTCAAACGTATAATTAGTTAATAAAAATCGATTAGCTTGTAACTTTAGTAAAATAAATATCGATTAATTAAGAGAATATAAAATTATAGCTACTATACACAATCATTATATCACGTAGCATAATATTAAAAATGATTAGTTTTCTAGTGAAAGTTTTTAACAAGGGTTTCTAGTGAATTTAAAATACTACAAATCAAGTGACTCTTCCAAGTAATAAAAGGTTAAAATGTGCATACCTGTGATATAACACCAAGAACACCAAGTGATACCTTTGCTGCATCAAGGTCTTCATCACCAACACTGAGCGTCCGAACTTTAACATATTCGTCTTCCTCTTCACCGGGGCTAACCATCTTAAGGCTAACAACGTAGTCATGGACCGCGCTTCCACGGCCCCATAGAGAGCTTCCGTGAGCACCCGTTCCAAGCATTCCCCCAATGGTTAAACCTGACCAATAAGGCGAATTAGGCAATGCTAGGTTCACCTTGGCTGCCTCGTCTATGAGTTGCATTAGCAACATGCCACTTTCTACCGTCATTGTTTCTCCTGTCACATTGATGTTTATAATCTTGGTCAGGTTTTTTGTGCTTATTATTAGACCGTCTTCTCCATCAGGGCACACCAACTTTGTGGCGCTGTGACCATATCTGGTTGCTACCTGTTGAAAATCAAATTAAAACTCGTATATGATATGCCTAGTCCTACAAAGTTAGAATACCGTGACTATTAGTTTTGTATGCAAGAAATATCTTAGACGTCGACCGAGTAATCTGAATAAATAACTCCGACTATATGGTGTACGTATGAAACTTTGTGTTTTAAATAATGATATGATTCCTTTTTTTTTTAATATCATCTTATACTACCTTCTTTCCAATTATACTATCGTAGTCAAACTTGTACATATCATTATCCAACTTTCGTACATATTGTGTACATATACTTACAAATGTTTATCTAGCTTTCGCATAATATGAACAAATCCTCACGTAACTCTCTTTACAGATTTTGTACACCGTAATATATTTGAATTAATAAACTTATAAATTAATTAACTTTCCTAGTTAAGCTAATACGGAGTATATATATAATATATACTTCCTTCTTTCTTTTTTACTTGACACGCTTTGACTTTTACACTATTCACTACTCCTCCTTTGACCGTCTTTTGTGAATAATATGTAAGCAAAAACATATTCATGAAAGATCTTTTGGAATTCGTCTCAATAAATACTATCATAATATATAACATTTATGATTTTTACTTATGGAGAATTGAAATTATTGATCGTTAAAGTTTTGTATTGGCAAACGTGATAAAAGAAACAAGTCAAGTAAAAAAGAACAGAGGAAGTAATAGATTATTATATATTTAACCAAATTAAATGTCGTATGAACTCATATACTTTCGCTTTAAAGGGTGACAAATCGGATCGATTGAATCAAGTTTATATAATCTGGGTCATACGATTTGGCGTGGTGGCTAGGGAGGACAAAGGGACGGAGAGAGTGGAGAATTAGAGGACCACAAAATTAAGGTGAAGGAAAGGAAAAAACATCTATTCCCTCCAGGTTTTTTAAGTGTTACATTTTGACCGGCATATATTTTTAGACAATTTAATTGACTTAAATAAAATAATAGGTAATTAAGTGGGGTAATTGGAGTATTAAAAAATTGTATAAGAAACATAGTGGGGGTTAATAGTTTATTGAAAAGTAATGAATATGAGAGGATAGATATAATTAAAAAGTAGTACTTCGTATTAGTTTGGGTGGGGACCATGAGAGGAGAGAGATATTATTTTTTAATGTAGCTTTTTGCCAAAAAAAAAAAGGAAGTGTAACACTTATTAAAATACGGCCAAATTTGATAAGTGTAACACTTAAAAAAACACGGAGGGAGTATATACAAACTGATTCAAGTTATAATTCATTGTGAATACCAATTTACTATATATTTGTTATATGACTTATATCCAAAATAGTATATGAGTAAATGTGTAATATGACTTTTACTATAGACAGAGGGAACAATCGTATTTAGTGGGAAATTTGTCTGGATTCACTATTTTGTCTGAAAGGACCTTAAATTATATGTTTAAAGTGGTCTAAAAGGATCTTATAAGTTTATTTAGTTGTTTGGGAGGACCTTGAGGTCGGAATCTGGCAGCTATTGACTTTTTCTCCGACGCTGACCTCTCACATAACCTAAAAAAATGACCCCCTTTTTTCATCGATTTTCCTCTAATTCCTCCTTGTCTCTCTTCTAATTCCCAAATGACACAAATTAAAATAAGTGAATTTGAGGGAAATCATGGAAAAAAAAATAAAAGGGAGTCATTTTTTAAGGTCACATGAAAGGTCAACGTCGGAGAAAAAATTCAATTATTGTCGGATTCTAACCTCAAGGTCCCCCAAACAACAAAATTAACTTATAAGGTTCTTTTAGATCACTTTAAACATATAAGATCCTTCCAAACAAAATAGTGAACATATATGTCCCTTTTAGACAAATTTTCCTATATAGTATTATGATTTAAACTTCAGTGGAAAAAAAAAGGAAAATTTGTTTGAAAGGTACTTATGTTTTCACATTTTTGCGAAGAAGGACCTTATTATATGTTCAAAATTATGAAAGAGGTCCTTATAAATCACTTTTGTTTTGATCGATGAAGGACTTTGATGTCGGAATATGGCCATTGACTTTACATTTTCGGTGTTGACCATCATGCACGTGGCACGTAATGTTGTAAAAAGACTCATTCATTCATTTTTTTTTCCCATGTTTTCACATTCTCTCTTTCTATCCCCAAATTTTCTCTCAAAATCCCTTCTCTTTCCTCAAAATCATGGGAAATTAAGAAGGAAAGGACATTTTTCAAACATCACGTTTATGTCAATGATGATCAATGCCGAAAAAGTGAAGTCGACGGTCATATTCCAATATCAAAGCCCCTCCTCACAACAAAAATGACTTATAAGGACCTTTTTTACCACTTTGAACCTACAAGGTCCTTTTTCTCATAAAAGTGAACATATAAGTACTTTTTAGACACATTTTCCAAAAAAAAAAAAAAAAAAAAAAAAGGAATAAGCAAGCACAATGTGGTAGATTTTGTATGTAAACTCTACTAGGGCAAGGACATCTATAATATATCAAAACAGGCGAGCAAAAAACCAATACATACCTTGATTTTTCTCTTCATCTTAGTTGCATCTCTAACATAGGAGATGAGTTGCTCTTCATTTTCGGGGTACACAACATTAGAAGCATGGCAAGTGCTCCGGTCAGGGAACGCGCCATACGAATTAGAGATGGTGCAATTGGAGTTTCCGGAAGAGCATTTGACAGGCTCATCTGGAGGATCACAATGAACAACATTGTTATTGCAAAAGATCAAATAGTACAAAAAAATTAGCCAAATCGGCCCTAAGACACCGTATGTTCTTGTGCTATAAACACTAAAAATATTTGACATCTTCAACCAATCAAGAAAAAAGATCAATGCACGTAGAATTTCTGAGCAAATATGAAAGATAATGTTATTATTGAGCTTGAGAAAGATAATGAAGGTTTGCAACATGTATATATATAATAATATAGTTTAGTTATTGATTGTGTAACGTAACAAACTAAAAGGCGGTGACAATTACATATTCAGGAGCTCTAGCAACTATGGTTTATTGAAGGAGCCACATCCACAAATGAATTTTATATTTTTTTTTGGAACTTCATAATATATTTAATTTGGTTTTCACTATTTAAATTATAAAAAATGGGACACGTATATAGAAATTAGTTCTTCAGCAATCTGAGTTGTGACTTTGATTATAAATTCAAAGATTTCTAATCACAAAATTACTACTGTATATGTTGTAGAGGACTAACTTTGTCAAAGATTGCTTTGATACATAATCACGTATCCTATTTTTTTTTTCCTTCTGCGACTATTAAAATAAAATACTACGTAATCACTAGAGTGTGTTTCGCGCAACGCTCTGCATTGTAATTTTCGTATTTTTTTGTCTGATGATGAGAAGAAAATTGACATCATAACGTGATCTTTGAAACATAACTATTGAAAGTTTATGAATTTTTTTAAAAAAGTAGGGCGGTTAATGCGCACTATAGCTAGTCATGTCCAGGGAAATATATGGTTTGGTCTTAGTTAAATCACCATAAAGGTGTTGATAACATTAATGAGAAAAATATATACTCGAATAAACAAATATTTTTTTAGGGGTATAAATATTCGTACAAAAAAGAGACAATTAACATTAATGAGGCAAGTGAATAAATATTTTAGAGGATTGATAATAACTGCCAAATAATTTAGGGTTAAATGTCCGCACATTATTCTTTAGTATTAAAATAAAAAGGGTAATGTTATACGCAACTCTTAGAGCGGCATATAAGCATTTAATATACTTCTTTTTATTAGTATTAAGTTAAGAATATATCGGCAATTCACGAGTTAATTGGTATAATAAATGTTTATTTATTGTCTAATTTTCACTTTTAACTTCTTATATGCATCCCTTGGGGCTACATATATCTTTTTCAGTTAAAAATGGGGCAATTGTCATTAATAAAAGCAAATAAGCATAAATAGTATAAATAATATAATTATTCGAACACTATAGTTAAGAGTTATCTCAAACTTTTTAAAAATTAAGGATATAATTTATATGACCATGAATTGAAGTAATTGAATGTCTATGCTACTTGCTTGTTATTACAATTAAAAATGTTAGAGATATAAGCTATCAAGCTAAGGTACTTGTTAAACTCTTTTATAAATTTACTCCATTTTGAATAAGTGACACGGTCAAACTTTGCTAAAATACTGATGCATAATTTTGATCTTATATTTGTATAACTAAATAATAATATAAATTATATGAAATATATATATATATATATATATATATATAATATATCATGAAACTTTAAAAATCATAGCATTGTCCTAAAAAAGTTTATATTATGAAACTTTATACAATACATATCTAACAACATAAAATATGCTTTTATTATGTTAATAAAAAATTATAATCAAAGTTCATACATTAATAGTGATAAAGTCAAACCTGGAAATTATTTTGGGACAAAAAGGTATATTTGTAAGAATTTATTATCTTTCATTTTACAGCAATGCTATATGTAGCCTTAAGGGCTATATATAAACATTAAATTCACTCTTGAAAAGTGTATAAAATTAGGAATTATTAACAAAAGCACACGTAAATTTGTGTAATTAGTGTTTATAATTTTATGATTTCATAACTTCTTACGATTTTTTAGTGTAAATTTAATACTTATATGCAGCCCTAAGTATAACATTTTCTTTCTTTCTTTCTTTCTTTCTTTCTTTCTTCTTCTTCTTCTTCTTCTTCTTCTTCTTCTTCTTTAATTGATTACATATTGTATGATACCAGTACTAAGGTCTAATTTGATTGCATATGGGAACAGACTCTTAGTATATATAGTTAAAATATCAATGAAATGTATTATAAATATTATATTTTTAAATTTCATATTAATATCAATCTAAAAACATATTGTATGATACTAAGGTCTTACTTGATTGCATATGGGAATTAAATACCCAAAAGAAGTTACAATTCCTAAGAAATACGGAGTACTAAAATCATGTTTGGTTCACATAAACAAAATTATATTTCCCATAAATTGACCATTGGTCAACTTTAACTTTAATAACTACCCAAAAATATGTTACTAATGATTTTAATTTGTATTTTTCTCATTATTGAAGTGCAACCAAACAAGCCTAAATTACTAACTACCATACTTATTACCCAAAAATTATGGTCAAAGGTAGGAAATAAGAAGAAGTAATATAAGTCAATATGTGTCAATTATTATGAAACGATTATTTTTTTTTTTTTTGAATGGGTGTATATTATAAGAATGTTCAATCTCATTTGTGTGTGTCTTGTTTTTATAAGCCCATTATATTTCCATATACTTTCATGTACAAATTTTTGCCTACATTTCGGGGTAGGTAAAGCTGCATGTACCCCCATTCCTTCCTAATGGCATCATGTTGGTTGTTTTTTCAGTTCTGAATCACCTATAAAATGTTCATTTTCATCACTGTCAATGTTCACTTTTGTATTATTAAATGTTCATTTCTGTAGAATAATTATTAAATGTTTAATTATATGCAAATACGACATGATATATTCGAATTATTATATTTTTGTATTTGTGTTTCTAGATGACTATTTATAGTAGTACTCAAGGGGGAAAAGTTCATTTCCTTCTTAATAAAATCAAATCAAATTGTATACCACCAAAAAATTGAACAATTGGATATTAAATTAATGTACAATACAATTTCACATGTATTATCAAACACAATAAACTTCTTGATCCAAATCGAAAAATTCAAGCTTGTGATATTGGTTCATGTCGCTTGGCGACTCTATGCCTTCTTGGTTTCCTCCTTTTTGCCTTGTTCCTTTTTTCCTTGCTATTGTGCGGTCTAACTCACTTTATGTACAATTCTTTATTAACTGATAAAAAACTATTGTATTAGATTTGAGCAAAAATAAATGTTGAAAATGAATCAATATCCATATGAATATAAACATGGATGAGTATAAAATGGTTAATATGAAAATTAACATCTATTAGAATATAAAATGGTTAATATGAAAATTAACATTTATATATTAGTATATGAAAATTAATATATAAATGAACATATATTAGTGTGGAAATGATCATCTATTAATATGAAAATGAACAACTATTAATACAAAAATGAACATATTTACGTAATTTAACATGGATATGAACATCTATTGATATATACATGAACATATATTAGTTTGAAAATGACCATGAAAGATCATAATCGATGAACATATGCATAAAATATATACATAAATAAACACCCTTGAAGCTATGAATATGTGATTGACCATATGTCCACATAAGAAAAGACATATATTGAAATTCAAAATTGAAATGAATTTGCAATATTTGAAGAAGATGACAAAAACATGAACATACATCATAAAAATTTTAATAATTGTATGCTAGTATGTGAAATTGTGAATGACCATATACTATTATATAATTGAACATCTACCAAAATAAAAATAAACAATTATCAAATATTTTGCCACTCCAAACTATGATAAAGAATGAATGCATGTTATTAATGAATATTTATATATATTATTTATCTATTGATATGTTAATGGTTGTATACTAATATATAAATGAACATTTATCAAAATGAAAATGAACATTAAAAAAAATAATAAAAAAAAAACAAGGATCACTACGAACTAAATTTATTAATACTTACATTTCTCCAGAATTCTTGTTTTCTTCTTTGAAATTGTTTCCTTTGTTTTGCAAAAAAAAATAAAAAATTAAATAAAAAATCAAAAACTTTTGTATACATCCGGTTTACATTAATATTAGTGTACATCGAGCAGTATAAGGGTAACTTTTAGCTAATTTTAGGGTAACTTTTTGTCTTTTTTTGGGTAACTTTAAACATAATACAATTTTTATTTAAATCAACAACAAGAAAAGTTTTATAAAGTTAATTTAATTACATTCAATCACTAATAATTGATTTTTAGTCATTTAAAATGTGATTCTTTACTAATAAAGCGTAGATAATTTTTATTTGAATTGGGTTACTTAAACGCATATTGGGGTAACTTTTAATCACTTTAGGTTATCTTTATAATAGATGTACAATAATTATTGTACACTCGATTTTTAAAAAAGTTTGTGATAAAAAATAAAAAATAAAAAAAATAAGAAATAAAAATAAAAATGTATTGATTTAATTTACTAATTTTTGAACAAATATTACAAGAACTATAATATTATACTTACCTTGAAACATTTTTCATGGTTGATTTTCCCATTATGTTCTTGAAATACAATCGCAACAAAAAAATTAGTAAAATCTTGGGTTTATACTCTTTTTCGTTCCAAACTTGAACAAAATAACTTACTCTTTTCAAATTTCTCCTTTGTTTTGATGAATTTCAAAGTGATTGAACAAGTTCTTGTGATAATTTTGTAACAATTTTGCTATTAAAGCTTTTGATGAGAGAGAAAATGACTGAGAAATGGGTGAGGAGATAGAAAATGGCTAAGAAATGGGTGAGGAGAGAGAAAATGCAAATAGAAGTTTTGGTTTTTTTTTTTTTTTTTTTTTTACTTTGTATATATAGGGGTAAAATGACTAAAATCAGTTAGTGTGCAATGGCCAATGGGTATGGAGATAAGATGATTAAACGTAGTGTTTTAATAGGGGTGTAGGTAGAGCTAGAGCTCCCTACTCTAGGGGGTAGGGATAGATAATCAACTTTCATGTTGTAAACTTGTAATTACATAGTTACATTCATTTCCACTATTTAATCCCATTATATTCAGCATTTCAGCATGCTTATTGTTAGTTTTCTTGAGTTCAGCTAGGGCTTATTTCATGAGTCCACTTTCAAGAAATAATAGTAGTATATTTCTTGGGCCCATATACAATATGTCCATGTC